TATTAATGATGATTTTAACAAAAACAATATAACAATAATGACAATGATAATGAAAATATGATGAAAATAACAATATCTTAATAAAAAAAATATGCCAAAGATAATGATAACAATATTAATAATAACAATAACAATGATAACAATGATGATAAGAAAGTTCAAATGAATCAATAATAATGATAACAAAGATAAGAACAAGAATAATGGCAATGATGATAATAATAGCAATACTGATAAAATAATATTAATAATAAAACTGATAATAGTTTATGATAATAACAAAAACAACAACTACAACAACAACAGAAACAACAACAACAACAACAACAATAATAATAATAATAATAATAATAATAATAATAATAATAATAATAATAATAATAATAATAATAATAATAATAATAATAATAATAATAATAATAATAATAATGATAACAATACTAATAAACACCACGATAAACATAAGAAACGTACAAAAAAATCTGTCGAGATAGTTAACGAAAGTGATAATTAAGTAATTAGTCAATATTCGTCAAATGATTAGATGATGCACGAGTATGTGCAGAACTGTCATCTGTATCTGCAATGAGCTATTCACATTTACTGCTTATTAATTTATACTGAACATACAAGGGTAGGAGTGGATGGTGAGTAAGTGAAAAGCGGCAAAGTAAATCCGTAGATTTATTACAAACGAATTCCATCGACTTTGCGAACACCTGCTCTTCACTCGGCTTTACACACACTGCTGCAAGGCGGGAGCTTCCTTTTGTTGCTTGCTGTTGCAGGCAACAAAGCTTATGATAGGGAGATGAATAAGTGCTATGGCATCGGCAATTGTGATGATATGAATAATAAGAATTATGATATTATGATAAGAATTGTGAATATTCTTATCATCATCGTGATGATAATGATAATAATAATAATAATAACAACATCATCGGCAACAATAATAACATGACCAATGATAATTACATAAATAATGATAAGAATAATGACAATAAAAATACTAATAATGATAATGATGGAAATAAAGATGGTAATGATGATAATAGTAATGATATTAATAATAGAAATAAAAATACTACTAGTAGTAAAATAAATGATAATGATAAAACTAGTAAGAATACTGATTATGATAATAATGGTAAAGATACTACTAAGATTACTACTACTACTGCTACTACTAAACATAATAACAATAATTATAATAATGATAATGACCATGATAATGATAATAACATCAATAGTAATAGTAATGATGATAATCATAAAAATATTGAAAGATGGAATAATGTAGTAATACCAGTAAATAACAAGCCTCCCTGACCAGGATTCGAATCTTGGTCACTCCAGTTATGACCCGAAGGACCCATGCCCAACCAACCATGCCAAACGACCCACTAAAAGGAGTGGGCAACTAGGATCTCACTAGCTCCAGATGGAAAATTGATGAAAGATGGAATAATGCAGTGCCCACGGGGAGTGTGTGTAAAACTTCGCTATCATTATTCTTGTATGAGTTGATAGGTAATGCCTTTAGTGAGATCTTAGGTAAACACTCCGCTTAGTAGGTCGTGTGTTATGGCTGGCTTAGCACTGGTCCTTCGGGTCATACCTAGGGTGGCCCAGGTTCGAGTTCTGGTCAGAGAGGTTTGCTATTTAATAATAATAATAACATAAGTATCAATAACATCAACAGTAATAATGATAATAACAATTATGATAATAATAATAACAAAACAATAACAAAAATTATAGTAATAATAATATGATAATAATGTTAACAATAATAATACCAACAATAATAGTAACGACAATAATATTGATTATAATAACAATAATAATAATATCGATAATGGTATTGATAATAACAATAGTAATAATGATGATGACGATGATGATGACGATGATAATGATGATGATGATGTTGATGATGATGATGATGATGTTGATGATGATGATGATGATGATGATAATGATAATAATGATAACAACAAATATAATGATAATAGTAATGATGATAATAACATCATAAATGATCATAATATTAGTAAAAAATAGATAATGACAATGGAAATAATAAAGCGATAATAATAATCATAAAAGTGATAAAAATAATCACAACTGTAATGAAAATGATAATGATGATGATAGTAATGTTAATAATAATGATGATAATAACAATAATAATGATGATAATGATGGTAACATTTATCGTTACCATCATAAAAAACGATAAGAGTAATAATGGATAATAATAATGTCAATAATAATAATGACGATGATAATGATAACGATGAAAAATACTACTACTACTACTAATTAATGATAGTAATGTTAATAATAATTATGATAATAACAATAATAATGATGATAATGATGGTAACATTTATCGTTACCATCATAAAAAAACGATAAGAGTAATAATGGATAATAATAATGTCAATAATAACAATGACGATGATAATGATAACGATGAAAAATACTACTACTACTACTAATTATAATGACAATAATAATATTAATGATAATTCTTATGATAAAAAGAAAGATAACAATTATGAGAAATATGATAATGATGATAATGGAAATCGTAATAATGATAATGATTATGTCAATTATAATGAAAACAACAACAATGATAGTAATGATTATGATGAAAATTATGATAATTATTATTATCTTAATAATGGTAATGATCATTTAAAAAATAACAAAATAACAACTCCAACAACAATATCAATAATAACAATAATAATGATCATAGTGATAATGATGATAAGAGTAATTACAACAATAATAAGAATGCTAATGATGATGATAATGATAATGTTGTTAATAATAATAATGATAATGATAGTAATGTTATTGTAAATAATAATGACGGAAATAAGAATAGAAGTAAAAATAGGTCTAGTATTATTAATGACCATGATGATGATGACTATGATGATGATGATGAGGAGGAGAAGGATAATGATAATGATAATAATAATAATAACAACAATGATAATATCCATAATAGCAATAGTAATGATAATAATGATAACATTAATGGCGATAATAATGAAGATAATAATAATGATAGTAATAATGATAATGACAGCAACACCGTTAACAACAATAATAATGATAACTATAATGATAATGAAAATGATAATAATAATAATAATAATAATATAAACAATCATAAGGATAAAATAAATAACAATAACAATAGGGATGATGATGATAAGGATAATAGTATTAAGGATAATAGTAACAGCAGTAATATGATAATGATAATAATAATAATAATAATAATAATAATAATAATAATAATAATAATAATAATAATAATAATAATAATAATAATAATGATGATAATAATAATAGTAACAATGATAGTAATGCTAGTAAAAATAATACTGATAATAATAATAGTAATTTATTATCATTATTATCATTATTATTATCATTTCATATTATTATTTTATTATTATTATAAATGATAATAATAATAATAATGATAATAATAATATTAATAAGTATAATAATAATAATGATAATAATAATAACAATAATAATAATAATGATAATAATAATAATAATAATAATAATATCATTATTATTATTATTATCATTATCATTATTATCATTACTTTTTTATTATCATAACATTTATAATAATAATAATAATAATAATAATAATAATAATAATAATAATAATAATAATAATAATAATAATAATAATAATAATAATAATAATAATAATAATAATAATAATAACAATAATAATGATAACAATAAAGATAATGGTAATGATAATGATACTGATGCTAATGCTGCTAATAAAAATAATAACAATAATCATCATAACATTGATCATAATAGCAATGGTAATACTGAAAATAATGATTGTAGTAATAATAATAATAATGACAGTAATAATAATGATGATATCAATAATGAGAATAACAATGATAATATCAGTAGTATTGATCAAAGCAACAATGATAAGGATAATAATGATAATGATAATGATAATAATAATAATAATAATAATAATAATAATAATAATAATAATAATAATAATAATAATAATAATAATAATAATAATAATAATAATAAATAATAATAATAATAATAATAATAATAATAATAATAAATAATAATAATATAATAATAATAATAATAATAATAATAATAACAATAACAATAATAATAATAACGATAATATAATAATGATAAAAATTAATATGATAATAATAATAATAATAATAATAATAATAATGATAATAATAATAATAATAATAATAATAATAATAATAATAATAATAATAATAATAATAATAATAATAACAGAAATAAGAAATATAATTATAAGAATAATAGCAGTTATAAGGATGGTAATAATAAGAATGATGATAATAATGACTATAATGGTGACGATTGTGATGATAATGAATGTGATAATTATGATCATGATAATAGTAATCACATTAATAATGCTAATAATGATTATGGTAACAAAAGACATGATAATGATAAGATCAACTAAAGAGTATTGAAGATTAGGATTATAACAACAACAATAAGAAAATAGTGAGAACAACAATAACAATAATGGTAATCACCATAACCATCATGAGCATCATAATGATAATGATACTACTACTACTGATAACAATTATAATAATAATGTCAATAACAATAATAATAGTAATAATGATGATGATGATTATAAAAATCACAATAATGATACTGATAATAATAATGATAATGATAATGATTATGATATTGATAATGAAAATGATGATGATGATCATAAAAATAGTAATAATAATGATAATAGCAATGATGATAGTAATGATAATAATAATGATAATGATTATAATGATAATAATAACAATATCAATATTAATAATGATAACTATAATGATAATGATAACAATAGCAGTAATAATGATAATAGTAATAATAGTAGTAAAATAATAATGATAATAAAATTATAA